GATGAGTGGGGTTGGGGGGCAGACCCCTAGACATACCTCTTGGAAATATGAGGGGTTGGGAGCTTTGGAGCAAGGCTCCTAGAAGCCTGCTAGACCCAGCTGCTCCTGTTCAGTAATTTCCATGTGCTGTTGTTGATTTTGGCTTTAGGCATGGAGAGCCCTGCCTTGGGAGCTTCCTTGAAACTGGATGCCCCAACCCAGAGGGTGTGGGCAGGAGGGAAGCCTCAGTGAACACTGGAGAAGCAGACTTTTTTTCTCTCTAATTAACGCTGGCATTTTTTTTTTTTTTTTTCCTCTCTGGGCTTTCTGCAGCAGCCCCAGCAATTACCAGGAGTGTTAACTGGGGTCAGGGCAGTGGCAGGGCTTTGGGAGACTCCCGGGGGCAGTGGGGAGGAGGAGGAAGTGCCTCTCAGGCACCCTGGAATGAGGGCTTCACCTCCTGCTGCCCAGGCCCGCCTGCCCCTGAATGCCCTTTTAACTGAGCTGCCCAGAAACCCATTGGCACCATCCATAACAGCCCCACTCTGTGTCCCAGGCGTTCTGTGAGAATGGCAGGGAGTTAAAGGACTCTCAACATCGGCCCCCACCAAGCCCTTAATTACATTAACACACAAAGCAGCAGGGCCGGCCATCCCTGTGAACAATTGCCGGCCTGTTTCCCCCAGCTGCGCCTCCCTTTCATCTGGGCCTCTTTCCCAGAGATGCCGGGTTCCAACCTCCCTACTTTTCCTCCTGTTTCATTGGTTTTGTCTCTTCCTTTCCCTCTCTGAGTCATTCCTTTCCCGCTTTGGTCCAAGAGGCCTGGTGTGGCACCAGCCGCTGAGCCCCATTTCCTATGTTCCAGAAGCAGCCCCATAACTCTGTTTTACAGTGGGTACATGAGTGGTCTGAAAAGAAAAACAATGCAGTTATTTATTTATTTTTTTTGCCTCTAATTTGCATATTGTCCTGAAAGAGAAGCAAAATGCCTTCACTTTATAATGACTTCCCATGCATCTTAATCACACTTTCCATTTGTTTAGATTTTAACAGCTTTACATTTATTTTTTATTTTAAAATTTGTAAATAGAGACAGGGTCTTGCTATATTGTCCAGGCCGGTCTTGAACTCTTGGCCTCAAGTGATCCACTCACCTCAGCCTCCCAAATCGCTGGCATTACACAGGTGTGAGTCACTGCACCTGGCCAGAATTTGGTTGTTTTTAGAAGTCCCATCTCATACATTTCTCACCGATCTGTAAATGTTTTGATGTAGTGTCTAGGATGGGTATCACACCTATTTCAGGGGGTGAAGGGGCTTGAATGGGGACAAGATCTGGCTAGTCTGACTGCTAGGCCAGTGCTCTTTCCTCCTGCCCACCTTTTGGCTTGGTGTGGGCCTCTTTGGGTCCTCTCCAGTGTCTCAGCAAAATGCCAACAACAGGAGGCCATGCAGAGGCACCTTTGGTGATGGTGAACTTGAGCTCCTTGCTATGAGTGGCAGGTGAGGGACCCCTGGAGAACGGGCATTTTTCACCTCTGCACTTGACTGTGCCCCTCCCGCAACTTCAAGGGATGAATACTTCACTTTTTTCCATTCCAGTGTTGGTGGGTCTCTAACATTTCCAGAGAAGGAAGTTCTCTAGTTATCCCCACGTTCCAGGGTCTCCTGGCACAGGGCCCCTGACCCTAGGATGAGGACATCCCAGTAAGCTGGGCTTGGGGCCTCCCCACCCAGCTTGGGGAGCCATCAGGCCTGCAGTCCCAGCCAGACCACCCTTGCCACCTCTGGGCCAACCACAGGCGGCAGAGAACAGGCAGTCGAGGACAGGCAGCCCAGGACAGGTGGCCAGGTGAACGTTGAGCTTGAGAGCATCTTTGCTGGCAGTACCAGGCCTGGCTAAGGCAGGACGGCCCTGTAATTAGTGTTCTTTTAGAGACAGCTGCTGCAGCTCCTTCTCTTTTGACCCTCTTCCTCCTTCACATTTGCACATGGCTTGGGGACCTGCCATTCTCCCTCATTCAGGCAGGCATTCCCAGGAGGTTCCTGCGCCCCAGATGGTGAAGCTTATCTCTTTTATATCCTCATGCTTGGGGGTGGCAGCGCTGGCAGGGATCCTCATTGGCTGGGGGTCTCTAAGGGACACTGGACCCTGCAGTGGCAGCTGTCGTCTGTCTTTTTGCCTGGGGCAGAGCACCTGAGCAGGCTGTGTTTCACTGCAGCGTCTTTGCCAAACTCCTTTAGAGTACTCTAAGGGCTAACGGGCTTTTGGTTATGTTCCCTGGAGAATTTCTGCCGCTGGGGAAGGGTAACCCACTGGCTTGCTTGTTTAGGTGTGACCACAGCAGAGCCCTGAGGGCCTCCAGATTACAGCTGTGCCTGTCCCATCTCATTGCTGTGGGCTGCCTGGAGGGGTTTATGCCATCCCAGCAGCTCTTCATCCTGACTTCTCAGACTCACAGATTTTAGTCAGAATGTGTTCCCCTTGCCCTCTGGGTAGTTTACGTGCTCGTTAAAGGAAAACTGGAAAATGTTTAATTTCCAGTAAAATCGATCATTCTGATAATTTCAGTACTACTGCTGAAAACATTTGGTTGTATTTCCCTCTGTTCTTTTTTTTTTTTTTTTTTTTTAATGTGCACAGGTTTTAAAAACTAGTTGTGATCTTACTGATTTACATACCTTTGAATCTAGCTTTTTGGTGTAACACTACATAATGAGAATTTTTAATGGAACGGTGTGGTTTTAAGACACTCTTTTAAGTGGCTGTACAGTGTTTCATCCTGTGGCTGTACCATTGCTGACTATTGTTGACACCCCCTCCCCTCCAAACTCATCTTTATTTTAAGCCTCAGAACTTTATGGAGCGTGAAAGTCAGGAGCCATTTGTTTGGGTTCTCTTGGTGTAATATTAATCCAGAGTTGGGGCCTCTGCCAAGGCCCCTGCTTGCCAAAGTGCCAGCAGGAGGGACCTGGCTGTGGTACAGGTCTGGGGCCTTGATGGGACAGCGGCTTCTAGCATGGCCTCTTTAGCCCTCGGCTCCATAGAAGTGGGATGCTCATTTGCGCGCCCTTCGACAGCTTCAGGAAGCTTCTTGTGGCTTATACAGGAGTGGGGTGATGGGACCCAGGCTCAGGTTGGCTCTCGGTCATTCATAGAGTCTCATTTCCAGCCCTGGGCCTGGGGCTGGGTGCCTTGCTTAGCCACACAACACATGGGATAGACACCACTTCCATTTCTACTGATTTACACACTTTCCCCTTTCTTCTCTGCCCCAAATGAAAGAGTAAAATGAGTCGCAGAGATTTTTAAGAGTTTTGAGCAGCAACGTAAACAAGCAGGAAGAGGCCAGGCACAGTGGCTCATGCCTATAATCCTAGCACTTTGGGAGGCCGAGGGGGGCGGATCATGAGGTCAAGAGATCAAGACCATCCTGGCCAACATGGTGAAACCTTGTCTCTACTAAAAATACAAAAGTTAGCTGGGCATGGTGGCGTCCGCCTGTAGTCCCAGCTACTCGGGAGGCTGAGGCATAAAAATCACTTGAACCTGGGAGGCAGAGGTTGCAGTGAGCTGAGATCATGCCACTGCACTCCAGCCTGGCAACAGAGCGAGATGCTGTCTCAAAAAAAAAAAAATTTAAAAAAAAAAAAGAAGCAGCAGCAGCAGGAAGAATTGGAGCACAGTGGTGTATGCCTGTAGTACCAGATACTTGGGAGGCTGAGGCAGGAGGATTGATTGAGCCCAGGAGCCCAGCCTGAGCAACACAGCAAGACCTCATCTCAAAAAAAAGTAGAAGTAGGAAGTATTGGACAGGCTTGAGTTTCATTTCTGGCTCTGTCCTGTGTAAGTTCCATTGTTACTTATCTATCGAGCCTGTTTCCTCAGGTGTACAATGAAGATGATGGTGCCCGCCTTGCAAAGTTGATGTGATTATCAGATGAAAATATTTATGTAACATTGTCTGGCACATAGTAGGTGTCCAGTCAGTGTTGTTTTATTGATATTCAGGGTCACAAAATGCACCAACCTCAAAGCCAGAGGGGCCTGCCACCCAGCTCCCCACCAGCTCTTGTTTCACGGGAGCCCATCAACTGTGCCTTTACTTTGCCATCTCCTGGTGGGAAGCTTTCTTGGTTGGCTGATCAGAGGAGTCTGGTTGACCAGAGTGGCCATTGTTTCAGCTCCTTCTGGCTGGGACATCCAGCCAAGGCAGGCCATGCTCTCCTATACCCTGCTTATCTGAGTGAAAATGACCAGGCCCCTTGTCTTCTGACTCTCCCTTGGATGATCTTGAGGCGGTAACTCTATGTGAAGGCAGGGTGTGGCACCATGATTAATTTGCTAGTGCATCTTTGTGCCCACACTTGTCTGCAGCTCTTGGTAGAACCCAAAAAGCCAACAGGAAACCAAAGAGAGAGAGAGAGTCACCTGGGGTCAAGCTTTGGTTCTGAGTCTTCGTGCCCCAATCATATAGTTGACTGTCTGCTTCCAGGAGGTAGTGCAATCTAGCCTGGCTGGACAGAGGTGGCCTTTGAGACTGTCCAGGGATGAAGATTCATACAGCCTTTCCAGGCATCTGCCCAAGATGTTGAGTCTTGGGTGCCATGGACCAGTGGCATTGGCATCACCTGGGAGCTAGCTGGAAATTGGTAAACAAAAAATAAAATTCACAGCCAGATGCCGAGGCTCATGCCTGTAATCCTAGCACCTCAGCAGAGGCCGAGGTGGATGGATTGCTTGAGCTCAGGAGTTTGAGACCAGCCTGGGCAACATGGCAAGACCCCGTCTCTACAAAAATTCAAAAAATGAGGTGGGAAAATCGCTTGAGTCAAGGCTGCAGTTAGCTATGTTCGTGCCACTGCACTCCAGCCTGGGCAACAGAGCAAGACCCTATTAAAAAAAAAAAAAAAAGAGAGAGGGAGAGGGAGAAATTCCCTAGGTGATTCTAATGTGCAGCTGGATTGGAGAACTGATTTAGACCCCTGTCTTTGGGATGGATGGTCTGGAATGACAGTGATCATGATGGTAATAGTTGCTGTTTATTGAGCTCTTACTATGTATGAAGAGCTTTATCCTTATTTGTAATCTTCCTTTTAAACTGAAAAGTGGTAGCACTCTTCCTGTCTTGCATATGAGAAAACTGGAGGCTCAGAGAAGTGAATCAAGTCACCTAAGGCCACTGAAATAGTGAGTCTGGAATTGTCTGCCCTGAGGCTTCTTTTGCCATTACTTTACCGTAATGAAAGCTCATACTGGTTTAGACAGGTCTGGTTCTCCATGGAAAATCTGGCTGGGGATTCTCTTCTGGGTCAGTTTCAGTGATACTTTCAGACTATGTGGTTTTAGGATTGTTCTGTTTGAGGAAAAGCACAGCAACTTTTAATCCCCGGATTCATGTCTCCTAGAATGAACAGAGGGGTGAGGTCAGTGACAGACAAGTTGCAAATGAATGATAGATAAGTCTTAAGGAAAGGAGGTTATTTCCAAAGGTCATAGAGGAAGCAAGGATAAAGAAGCCTGGACTTTGGGGCCAGCGAACCCCACCCAACTCTGTTTGTTTTAAGCCGGCTGTATGAGTTTGAGCAAGTCACTTTATCCCTCCATATTCAAACTCCACACCCTCCAGATGAGCGAGGGGTAGCATTTGCTGCTCTTTCTGCAGATCTGATTTCTTTTTGTTTTTTGAGACGGAGTCTCTCTATCCCCCAGGCTGTAGTGCAGTGGTACGATCTCACTCACTGCAACCTCCACCTCCTGGGTTCAAGTGATTTGCCTGCCTCAGCCTCCCGAATAGCTGGAACTATAGGCACATGCCACCACGCCTGGCTAATTTCTGTATCTTTAGTAGAGACTGGTTTCACCACGTTGGCCAGGCTGGTTTTGAACTCCTGACCTCAAGTGATATGCCCATCTTGGCCTCCTAAAGTGCTGGGATTACAGGTGTGAGCCACTGCGCCTGGCCAAGTCTGACTTCTAAGATAAAAAGTAGAAAACAGAGGCAGCGGTGAGAACTGAGCCGAACCACAGACCCCAAGTCTTTTGCTCTAAGAGCAACTGAGAGGCAGCGCTGGAGACAGGTGCTGGTAGAAAGCCATGAAAGCAAAGGAGAGGGCAGCCACTGTGCCCAGACAGGAAGCACACAGAACACTGGGACAGAAGCTCCCCAGACTCATGATCCTGCAGAGAAACCGGGAGAGAAGCACAAAGCAAATGGGCCAGACATTGAGAAATAGCCCTTTCTTTTCATGTTTTGAACCACGTCCAAGCCTAACTTCTAAGTTCGAATAAGGATTTGAAAATCAGCCTGAGGCTCCCACGGAATCTAAATCCAGGTTACTCTGTATATCTTCCTTATAAAGTCATGGGATATCTGTATTTGGGGAATGGAATGAGTGCGGGTGAATGTTTCACTGCTTTTTTTTTTCGTCTCTTTTCTTTTCAAGAAAACACTTGGCCCTTGCATTGCCAAGCACCTTGCAGTTCACGAGGAACTTTTATGCCTTTCACTGCACTGTAGGTCCCTAAAAGGGGAAGGGGATTCCCCCCATTTTATAGCAGAGGAAACACAGGCCCATGAAGGAGAGCCTCACGATCGCACAGCAAATCAGGGGCAGAGCCTGGAGTGGAGTCTTCCAGCTCCAAGCACAGCGCTCCTTTTGTTCCACCAGTACCTCCCTACTAACTCCCTACCTTGGCTTTCCACAGTCTGAGGCTGGATAGCTGACAATAACCTTGGATAGACGGAGCTCATAAAATACAGCTAATTCCCAGTGATCTGTACATGTGTTTTAAAACATGCTTTCCTTTTAAATTATATAACCTATTTACAACTATACCCTGTTTATTAAACATTTCAGCTGGGCATGGTGGCTCACGCCTGTAATCCCAACACTTTGGGAGGCTGAGGTGGGCAGATCACCTGAGGTCAGGAGTTCAAGAACGACCTGGCCAACATGGCAAAACCCTGTTCTCTACTAAACATACAAAAGTTAACTTTGCATGGTGGTGGTGGGCTTCTGTATTTCCAGCTACTAAAGGAGGCTGAGGCAGGAGAATCACTCAAACCTGGGAGGTGGAGTTTGCAATGAGCCGAGATCGCACCACTACACTCCAACCTGGGTGACAGAGCAAGACTCCATATCAAAAAAAAAAAAAAAAAAAAAAAGAGAAAAGAAAAGAAAATTTAGATAATAAAAAGCCGCCTTTGGCTCCTCCTAATCCCCCCATCGCATCCCATTTCTCAGAGGTAACCACTGATGACAGTTTGATGTGGATCCTCTTAGCCCTTTTTTAAAAATGCATTTTGCATGTGTTGCTGATGGATTATTATAATCCCTGACCATCTTGCTTGCTTTAATTGCCAGCTGTGTATGTGTGTGTGCATGGAGAAAGCAAACATTACATTACCTTCAGCAAGATAAAACCAGGATGGTAAAATCAGCCAGACTAGAGATTTAGAGCAGTGATGATTCTAAAACTTGGATGTGCATATGAATCCCTCATAGATTTTGCTAAAATGCAGATACCGATTCAGCATGTTTGGAGTAGCTCCTGGGATCCTGCGTTGCTCATAAGGTACCAGTCTCTGTTGATGCTGCTGGTCTCAGGCTGCACTTTGAGTAGGGAGGGTTTTTAGAGCACAGTCACTGGAATCAAAAAGACCTACTGGGCCCTTAATTGCTGGCTGAGTGAGTTGAGCAAGTCTTTAAGCTTTCCATGCCTGTGGATCAGGAGTAAGAATGGTACCTTTCCTGAAGGGTTGTTGTGAAAACAAAATGAGCCAGGGCCTGTGAAGCACTTAGTCCAGTGCCTGGCACGTAGTGAGCGCTCGATAAATGTTAGTTATTAATATTGTCTAGAGACAAATACCAAGTTGTCCAAGCCAAACAGAAAACGCCTGCTGGTTGGCTATTACTGGGGGCTGTTTGTGCTGATGCCCTTTCTCTTGTTCATTTAATGTCCTCGTCATCAGGATTTTGAATATACCTTGTATGGTATTATCTCCATGTACTTAGGGAGAAACTGAGGCTTAAGGAAGATGGATGACTTAACCTTCTGAGCCACACAGCTAAGAAGTGGCAGAAATAAAGTTATACCCAGATTTCAGGTCTAGTGCTTGTTGTATACACTGCAGCTACCTTCTCTTGAGAACTTACTATGTATATGGCTTAGTGGGTCTGTTGGTATGGGAGCTTAAGCCTTTGATCATGGCTCCAGGGAAGGAAAGCAACAGGCTTCAAACTTCTTTCACTCCTACACCTCAAAAGAATTTTGAACAACTGTGTATCCCCTCATATATTAAAAAATTGGCATATATTGCTGGGCACACGCCTTAATCCCAGCACTTTGGGAGGCCAGGGAGGGAAGATCACTTGAAATCACGAGTTCAAGACCAGCTTGGCCCACGTGGTGAAACCCTCTCTCTACTAAAAATACAAAAATTAGCTGGGCATGGTGGTACATGCCTATAATCCCAGCTACTTGGGAGGCTAAGGCAGGAGAATTGCTTGAACCTGGGAGGCGGAGGTTGCAGTGAGCCGAGATCACGCCATTGCACTCCAGCCTGGGTGACAAGAGCAGAACTCTGTTTCACAAAATAAAAATTAATTAAGAAAAAAAAAATTGACATATATTTGCTGGATGCAGTGGCTCACGCCTGTAATCTCAGCAGTTTGGGAGGCCAGAGCAGGAGGATCATTTGGGGTCAGGAGTTCAAGAGCAGCCTGGCCAACATGGAGAAACCCTATCTCTACTAAAATACAAAAATTAGCCAGGCGCGGTGGCGGACGCCTGTAATCCTAGCTACTGGGGAGGCTGAGGCAGGAGAATCGTTTCATCCCGGGAGGTGGAGGCTGCAGTGAGCCGAGATCACACTACTGCACTCCAGCCTGGGTGACAGAGCGAGACTCCGTCTCAAAAAAATAAAAATAAAAATTTACATATAAAATGTTTTATCATAACTTTAAGTGGAATGTATTTCCAGGCCTATTGTATGCCATATACTTGCTTCAAATTTATTTTTGTCAAAGCCTTAGAACGGCAAACCCAGCCCAGGCAGTTGTGGAAAACGTCCACCATAATTCCTAATTGCCCAGGCTGGATCTTGTGGTTAGACCAGCCAGCCAAATCATACTTTGTGTCGGAAAAACTCTGACTCCTCTTTTTAATTCAAATATTTATTAAACAGGTTAAACAGGTGTCCCTGTGTCAGCTTCCTAATTCTAATCCTAAAATAAACAGATGGGTAGGTAAGATAGATAAGGCCCCCTTCTCAACGTCTTAAGGAAGTTCTTTGTCCTCCTGGAACTCCTCCCATGAGGGCTGCATTCTTCCGTCGTCTCTTCTGTAACACAGGGCAGGATACCAGGGTGAGGCTGGGATGGCTGGGGGTAGGCCTTTCTTTTGGGAAGAGTTTACGAGGGCCTTGGTGAAGAGAGAACTGGCAGACACAGAGGGTTCCCAGCTGATCAGTTTTAGGAAGAAGCACAGGAAGTGGAGCTTTTAGAAGTTGATTCGCTGGAAGGCGAATCCATGTCTGAATACCCCTGGGAAGTCCCCAGGTTCCCTGAGGGTTTTGCACATGTACTCTGGTGGGAAGACTGTTGAGTAGCGGCCTGGAGATGCTACCTAGGGTTTTGCTCTGTGGACATTACAGAGCTTGTGGATCTTTGTGACTGAGCCTGCTTCTCCTACCAGCTCGCTGGTAATACCTTGAATGCACACCCCATGTTTCTTCTCAGCTCCTCTCCGTGAGACAGCAGGGGCTCACACTCTTAATGATGCCACCTTGTTGCAGGGGGTAAACTGAGATCCAGAACAGGAAAGTGACTACACAGAGAAGTCCACATACACCACCAAGAAAGCCAGCTGGCATTCCTAGAGGAGGCCTCACAAGGCAAAAAAGCCTTGGGGTGGGTCAGGAGAACTGGTCTTCAGAGTTCAGCCTCTGCCTCAGTGCATGTCACCTGCCTTCTCTCAGCCTCACTGTCTCCACCTGTTAAATGAGGCTAATGTGGCAGGTGTTGAGCCTGCTGTTCACAGGCTCTGAAGTTGGGCAGACCTATTTTTGAATCCTAGCTTTGCCAGTTACTCGCTGTGTGACCTTGGGCGAGTTATTTACCTCTCTGTGCCTGTCTCCACATCAGTCAATGGTGAAAAGAAAGGCCTCTCTCTCATGGGAGGTTGAGAGGATCAATGAGACAAGTGTTAGCGTCAGGCCCACACGGCATGCTCAGTAAATGTTATTGTTATCCTTGGTTTTGTTCCCTGTAAGAATTATAGTCAGGAAGAGACTCAGTGGAGTGAAGGCCTGGTTGAGACTCTCCAACGGCAGGGCTGTGTTGGTGCGTGGCCTTGCCTCTTTGTCCCAGGATGACCACATGTGCTAAGTGGCACTTAGTATGTGTCACCTGATGAACGGTGAGTGCCAGTCAAGAGGCCCTTATGACAGCCTCTGAGCCCCGGCCATCTGCTGGGCCTCCTGTTGGCATCTTCCTCCAGCCTTCACGGGGAGGCATCAAGCCACTGGCCTTCTCATCACCCTGGGGGAGATGAGGCTGACCCCACATTTCCTCATAGCCCGGTGGCTTTGAGAGCGCCTGTGTGCCCTGGTGGCAACCTCAGGGACCTAGTGGGACACTTGTTGCCGCCCAGCCTTCTCTGCTGTTCATGTTCCCATGTCCTCCCTATTGGATGGGCCTCAGGCACTCAGCCTGCTCACCTTTCTCTTCTAAAGCTGCCACGTCTCCATTTTCTTGTGGGCCTCTCCTAGGAGATGTTTTATGAACAGAGTCCAGTCCCTACCCCTCCATCCCCTCATCTCTTCTCACAAACTTTCCCCTGGAAGTTACTCCCTTGGCCCCCTCCTCCTCCTGTTCAGAGAAGTGAATACTGAAACAAAACAGACAGTGCACTCCAGGTGGGATTTTGCTGCTTGGAGGAATCCCTTAGTCAAGCAAGGAATCCTTTTGTAAAGTAAGTGCTTGCTGTGGATTTCCGTCCGGGACTTTTTGCTTGGACTGGTTCTCGAGAGTGGCGCCCAGGCGAGTTTGCGGCTGGGGGTGGGGGAGGCTGCTGGCCTCCTCTCTGTGGCCTGAAAGGGCTCCCAGTGTGGCTTCTAGATCCACTGATTACGTTTCATCCTTCCGCTGTCTTCCTGTCAGGGCTCTGGTCCGCCAGCATCGATCACACTGGCTTGGAAGGTGGTGACGGGTTTGTGTTTCTCCCTGTTTTGTTCCCTTGCTTCCCCGTCGCATCTCCATGGAAACAGGTGCAGCCTTTGTGTTGCCTTTGCTTTGGGCAAATCGATGCCAAGTGGGGACTTCTCTGGACTCTCCAACCCCTCCCCTCTTTGAGATCAAAGCCGGAGGAGGGGGCAGTGCAGGGCCTGACAGGAAGCCTTTTGGGGGCCTGGAGGGCCTGGGGTGGGAGACCCTGCTGCATGGCTCCTGTCCTGGCCTGCCCTCATGCCTCAGGCATCACAAGGCCATCGGGATGGAGCAAGAGTGCTGTGATTTATAAACACTCTCAGCCCCCCTCGGCCTTCTGCGTTCTCAGAGGCAGCTGCTGGCCACCTGCGGCGGGTTGCTGGGTAGGAGTCGGAGAGCTGGCACCAGCTCGGATTCTTTGGTGGGACCTTGAGGGCGAGGCCTTTAACCTTTCCGGGCCTTGGTTTCTCCTGAGAGGGTGGAGAGGTTTTGAACTCGTGAGAAGATGAGGCTTCGGTAACATGACTCCTCTTTTACCTTAAGGAAAACCTACATCTGGGTAAACTCTGCAAAGTTTTTTTCATATGGTTGTTCTATGGTGAATAGTAAATTCTGTGTTTGATGCAAACCGGTGAGTTGCTTGGCAGGAAATGAAACCTTCGGCTTGGGAGCGTGTCTTTAGACAGCCTCCCGAGGCCCCTCCTCCCTGCCCAGCTTGTTCCGCCTTCCCAGGCTCATAACAACCTATTAGGGAGCCTTCTGTTCCAGGCCAGAGCTCAAGTGTTGGCCCAAACAGCCGGGGGCAGTGGCAGCCCTGCCTTGAGTCCCCAAGGTCCTACCAGCATTTTAGCTGTGGCACGTGGGCGAGGGTGCCCAGGCAGGACAGGGCTCCCTAAGGCCAGGCGCCAGTTTTCTGCCTGAGTTGTTGCTCAGTCCCTGCTGGTTTGATAAACTGCATCATCCAACACTCATGTGCTAACTTTAATGTAGCCACAGTAACCTCATTGATGACACTGGCAAACTCCAAACCCTGCCCATTCATTAAAAGAAGACTTCATTTTAATATCTGAACTCTATGCCTATCTCCTTGTTAAATTTAGCAAAGGATGTGTTTGACTTTAGATTTTGCATTGTCCACAAGCCTCACTTGAGATGGGAGATAGAGCCCAGTCACCTGAGGGGACCCCTGAGCATGCCTGTGGTGGTAAATGTCAAATTGTCCAGTCTCCTGCCTGCAGAATGGGCATTTGATGTGGTTACATCTTTCAGGGATCTGTTCTAGGAAATGAACTTTCTAATACCTCTTTACAGTCAGGAAGTTTTTCTTGGAATCCAACCTAAATCCCATTTTATTTTGTTCTGTCTTTAAGAAAGATAGCAAATGAAGAGTAAGAATCCTTAATGCTTTACTTGAAGACCCTTAAATCTCTACTTGGCCTTGGCCAAACACCCCCAGGTTTTGAGGGTTGCCTCCTGACCTTCTCTCCTTCCAGCAGAACAATGCCTGAGTTTCCTGTTGGTAAAACAAGGAGAATAGTAGCTGCCTCGTTGGGTTGGTGTGAAAATTAAATCAAGACTGTGGGGACGCACCTTGCCAAGTGCCTGGCATATGGTTCATTTTCAATTACGCTAGCTGACTCTGAATACATTTTATTTCCTGCCTACTTTAATGCCACTCAGAGTTCCTGCTTTTCTTCACAGTCTCCCTTGAGTAATGCACCCAGGATTAGTGGGCCTCCTCCTGCCTGGCCTGATCCTGGACCCAGAGAGGCCAGGTGGGGCAGGTGCAGGCCACACCCCTCTGCTTCTCTCAAACCATCAGGCTAGGAGACTTGGAAGCCTTCTCTCTCCCCTGGGAGTCTGGACATGGGAAAGAAAAGCCCTTTCATGCTAAGGCCCCAGATAGCATTAAACTGTCCCTTTTCTAAATCGAGCTCCAGGAGCTCCCAGTTGGGACTGCTGACTCCCAGACCCTCCCAAATGGATGCAACAGGATCCCTGGTACCTCACTAAGAGAGACTTCCTGCAGAGATAAGTTGCTCCTGTCCCTGTACACAGCAACCTGAACCTCTGCTTTATCCAAAGGGTGAAGTTATAGAGTCACTGTGACCTCTAAGGCACAGGGAGCAAGGACTTCAGAGGTAGCTCCTCCTGACCCCCCAAGGTATAACTCTTTTTCTCTTTGAAGCAGAGATACCCTGTGGACTATTGACCCCCTGTGTCTCAGGCTTCTCTCTCTGGCACACAGGACATGCTAATATAAGTATTTGCTATAATTTTCTGGAAAATGTGCCTAGGAGAACTGTTTGATTTAAAATCTCCTCCTCTCCCTTTCTTCTGATCAGCATAAGTAGACATATTCCTTGCCTGCTCTATGCTGGGCACTGAGCAAGGTGTTGGGGACCGAGAACTGAATGAGATCCAAAAAATCCCGCCTTCCAGGTGGGCACCATCTGTTGGGGCCACCAACGGGCACAGTGGCAATCGTGAGAACATGTGACTCGTGCTGCCACATTGATGCTGGAGGAGAGAGAGGGTTCAACAGGCTAAAGCCACGTGGGAGTGAGCCAAGAAGAGCATGTGAGAGGACTTTCTGAAGGAGGAGATCTACAACCTGAATCCTTGAAATAGAGAGTTGCAGTTGGCCAGGGTGAGGCTTCTGGGACCAAGGAGTTAGAACCCAGGGCCAGGGAAATATGCTGGGGTGGGGTGCTGGCCAGTGGTGGCCAGCAGGAAGAGTGGCCCAGGACTCAGCCATGCATTGGATGAATCAGTAGGTCCCTGGAGGACTGGTCAGTTCAGATAAGGAGGATGGTATTTCCTCTCTAGAAATCCCTGGATGGGAGGCAGAAAGGAGGGGTTCTTTAATGTTGACCTCTCCTCCCCAGAGTCCCTGGGCCCTGTCCCTGCTTTACAGCTCCTGCAGCCTCTGCTCCTCCCTGCACTCCTCTTTGACTTGCTTGGGGTCTTGGGGATGGCGTTTGGGTGCACCTCAGGAAATTCTGATTCAGTAGAATTGACAAAGACACCTGGGGCTTTTTCTTTGAAAAGCTTCCCAGAGGCTGGCACAGTGGTTCATGCCTGTAATCCTAGTACTTTGGGAGGCTGAGGCAGGAGTACTTGAACCCGGGAGATGAAGATCAGTCTGGGCAACACAGTGAGACCCAGTTTCTTTTATCTTTTTTTTTTTTTTTTTTTTTGAGATGGAGTCTTGTTCTTGTCGTCCAGGCTGGAGTGCAGTGGCATGATCTCGGCTCACTGCAACCTCCACCTCCTGGGTTCAAGTGATTCTCCTGCCTCAGCCTCCCAAGTAGCTGGGATTACAGGCACCTGCCACCACACCCAGCTAAATTTTTTGTATTTTTAGTAGAGACGGGGTTTCACCATGTTGGCCAGGCTGGTCTCGAACCCCTGACCTCAGGTAGTCTGCCCACCTCGGCCTCCCAAAGTGCTGGGATTACAGGTGTGAGCCACTGTGCCTGGAGACACCCAGTTTCTACAAAAAAATTGTTTAAAGTTAGCAGCTGGACCTGGTGATGTGTGCCTGTAGTCCTAGCTACTCTGGAGGCTGAGGTGGGAGGATCGCTTTTGAGCCCAGGAGGTCAAGGCTACCATAAGCTATGACCACACCACTGCACTACATACAGCTTAGGTGACAGAGTGAGACCCTGTCTCTGAAAAAAGCAAGAAAGTAAAAGGCTCCCCGGAGATTCTGATGCACCCATCCAGTTGAGAATCAGTACGCCAGGGAGGCCTTTATTCTTCTAAACGGTGTCTGTTGTCGTGTGTGTGTGTGTGTGTGTGTGTGTGTGTGTGTGTGTGTGTGTTTTGGCTTTACTATCTTTTTTTGAGTAGTAAATATTAGTACATAGTGAAACTGAGGCACAAAGAAGTAAAAAGTTGTCCAAGATCACAGAGAAACCAACATCTACCTTCCAGAATCTATGATCTCTTCAGCCTGCTCCAAATGTCTCGCCTGGCAGAGGGCGTAAGTGTCCGGAACCCCAGATGTTTGAAGAAATGGAACAGGAGTCTGTTCCTCCGACATTTACCGCCTATTAATTAGGAGGTAGTGTCTTCTTGACTCCCTCCAGCGGGTCCCAGGCCCGCCTGCCTGAACATCTGTTCTCCTAACAATGTCTGCCCATAAATCCTGTCCCTGAGTCCAGGGTGGCTTAGCTGGGGAACAATAGAGCCTATGATGGCAGCCAAATCCTCACCATGGTTACATGAGGGTGTGACTGCAACTGTGTGTGCTTGTTGGCAGGCACCAGCACCTGCAACTGGGGCCAAGGTTGTGTGTGTGTAGCGGTCTCCAGGGCCAGGGGTGGGGGCGTTGGACTGCATTTGGGAGGGATCCTCACAGAGCACCTTCTGTAGGCTTCTGCTGCCACTCATGCTATTGTAATTCTTGGCCTCTGTGAAGAAAAGAGGTTTTTATTTTGCATATCCTGACATACAGTAGGTGCTCAGTAAGTGTTTTTTTGGACTGCCAGTGAATGAGCGAGTGAATAATTAGAAGTCTGTGAATGTCACTGGGGTGCCTGAGAATGAGACAGATTCAGTTCACCTGGGACATGAGGAATGCCTCCTGGGTAATGAGGAGTCACTAAAGAAATGTCTGTCCCAGTCTGCCCTTAAGAGCTGATAGGGGCGGGCACGGTGGCTCATGCCTGTCATCCCAGCACTTTGGGAGGCCGAGGAGGGCAGATCACTTGAGGTCAGGAGATCAGTTGAATCAGGCCTGCCCAACATGGTGAAATCCCGTCTCTACTGAAAATACAAAAATTAGCCAGGTGTGGTGGTGCGCGCTTGTAATCCCAGCTACTCTGGACGTTGAGGCAGGAGAATTGCTTGAACCCGGGAGGCGGAGCTTGCAGTGAGCCGAGATCTACCACTGCACTCCAGCCTGGGCAACAGAGCAAGACCCTGTCTCAAAAAAAAAAAAAAAAAAAAAAAAAAAAAAAAAAAAAAAAGGGAAAGAAAAAGAAAGAGAACTGATAGGATGAAGGAGAGCCAGCCACACAAGACAGCAGGTGTTGAAGTGCTACACTGCCCCTGATTATGGCCGCTAAGTGCTCTCCCCATTTACCAAACCACCCTTAAGAGGAACAGGTGTTCTGGGAGGGCGGAGAGAGATCAATATTGGCTGAAGTTCTCAGAGATTGCCTCATGGGACAGGAGAACTTGAGTGAGGTCTTGAAGGATGGACAGGGCTTGTTTAGGGAGAACAGGTGTGGTCCCTAGACCAGTGGCGTCAGCATCACCTAACAGCTTGTTAGATAGCAGATTCTTGGACCTCACCCCAGACCCAGGGAATCAGGAACTCTGGGGGTAGAGGCCAGCGATGTGTGTGTAACCAGCCCTCCAGGTGACAGTGATGCTCACTGAGCATGAGGACTGCTGATGCAGAGGGAGGGATGTGATTTTTTGTGTTTTTTTGTTTGTTTGTTTGTTTGTTTTTTTGAGACAGAGTCTCGCTGTCTCTCAGGCTGGAGTGCAGTGGCGCGATTTCAGCTCACTGCAAGCTTTGCCTCCCGGGTTCACGCCATTCTCCTGCCTCAGCCTCCCAAGTAGCTGGGACTACAGGCACCTGCCACCATGCCCGGCTAATTTTTTGTATTTTTAGTAGAGACGGCATTTCACCGTGTCAGCCAGGATGGTCTCGATCTCCTGACTTCGTGATCTGCCCACCTCGGCCTCCTAAAGTGTTGGGATTACAGATGTGAGCCACCGCGCCCGGCCTGGATGTGATCTTTACATAACAGACCGAGAAGTTTGGAAGGGACCTGGCCTGCTCTTCCGTTGGTGGCGTAGAGAGAAAATGGGAGGGAGATGGCAAGAGGAGCTTGAAGGCATCAGGGAAGCAGGCTTGGGAGGCTGAGGGTCTCAGCTGGATTGGTGGTAGCCATGGTAACAGAGCAAAGCCACGGGGTGCTGTGAAGGCCTGGTGATACACTGGATCTCATGCCATACTTTAAGGGCACTCTTCTTTGAAATGTTTTAAAGAGAACTTGTCACCTCATGATCACATTATGATATGCCAATTGTGGAAAAATAAAGGAAGAAAAAGGGGGTGCTCCCAAAATTTCACCATCCAGGACAGTTATTGATATATTTGGCATATTTCTTTTCTTTTTTCTTTTCTCTTTTTCCTTTCCTTTCTTTCCCTTTCCTTTTGCTTTCCTTTTTTTTTTTTTTTTGAGACAGAGTCTTGCTCTGTCGCCCAGGCTGGAGTGCAGTGGGGTGATCTCAGCTCACTGCAAGCTCCACCTCCCGGGTTCACACCATTCTCCTGCCTCAGCCTCCCGAGTAGGTGGGACTACGGGCGCCTGCCACCATGCCCAGCTAGTTTTTTTGTATTTTTAGTAGAGATAGGGATTCATCGTGTTAGCCAGGATGATCTCCATCTCCTGACCTCGTGATCTGCCCACCTTGGCATCCCAAAGTGCTGGGATTACAGGTGTGAGTCACTGCGCCCGGCCTGCTTTCCTTTTTATAAGAGACAGGATCTCACCATGTTGCCCATGGTGGTCTCAGACACCTGGGCTCAAGTGATCCTCCTGCCCCAGCCTCCTAAAGTGCTGGGATTACAGGTGTGAACCACTGTGCCCCACCCTAGGCATAGATCTTTTTGATCCCTTTCTCTATGCATTTTTTTTCTGTAGTTGAAAACATAACATATATATGTCAATTTGCATTCTGTGCTTATTTGCATCTTGTGTTCTTTGCTTAAACTACCATAAGCATTTCCCTATGTGCTTTCAGGTGTATTTTTTATTTTTATTGTCACAGGATCCCCATGGGTTGAGCAGAGGAGGTCACTGAAGTTTAGCAAGAAAAAAAAAAAAAAAAACTTACTCCATGAACTCCAGTCTGTGGGGAAGGCTAACATTGAATGGCCTGTGTTCTTTAACACAGAAATTGTAAGGAAAAGAAAGGGATGGAGGGAGCTAGGCATGGTGGCCTGTGCCTGAGATCCCAGCTACTCGAGAGGCTGAGGCAGGAGGATTGCCTGAGCCCAGGAGTTTGAGGCTGCAGTGAGCTATGGTCCTGCAAGTGCACTCCAGCCTGGGCAACAGAAGAGAGACACCTCATCTCAAACAAAACAAAACCAAACCAGAATCAAACACCCAGTCATTGTGTTGCTAGAACCTCTTTCGGTTATTTCCTTAGCCTGACCATTGGGTTCTCTTTAATGTGCACTTACCTGCTCTCTACCCTCACACATATATATATATCCCCGCCTCAGCTGCCCTTTTTCTCTAACTCCTTCCCATTGCTCTGGAGAAGCCCAAGAAAGCAGTTTTGCATTTGCACACCCAGGACAGGGAACAGGGGAGGAGCCTAGGGATGCTAAGACATCCTTCTCCCTGGTGAGGCAAACTGGGAGAGCCTTTCTGAGCCTGGTCCTTGGAGGCCTGGGCCCTGCTAGTGTGGACATCAGAATTTAGGCTCCCAGCTGGACCCCTGCTTCTCTCTGCCTGGGTGTCAAGTTTCACAGGAAACAGCCAGTGCTTTGATCTTGGATGAGGCTGAGGACTCAGTGATGAGAGGACACAGAGCTCACCCCAGCCGTGTCTGCCCAGGAGATATGGAGGGCTCCTCTGCCGGGGATTGACCATCCATAGTCCTTGATCTCCCCCAGAAAGTCATAATAAAGCCCTTCCAGTTACAGTGAATCAGGGCTTATGTTCTAAAATACGTCCTGTTCAATATCATGGCCATTAACCATAATGGCTGATGAACACTTGAAATGTGATGGGATGACCAAAGAACTGCATTTTACATTTTATTTAATTTCAGGCCAGGCGCGGTGGCTCACGCCTTTAATCCCAGCACTTTGGGAGGCTGAGGCAGGCGGATTGAGGTCAGGAGTTTGAGACCAGCCTGGCCAACATAGTGAAAACCCATCTCGCCATAACAGAATGAGATTTCTTCTCAAAAAAAAAAAAAAAATTAGTAAATACATTTTAATTAATTTTAATTAAAATTAAAATTTTTATTGTCACACATGACCAGCGGCTACCTTATTAGACAGTAAGTTCTAGAAGAAGTAGGTCTCTGAGACAGCCATAGTGGCTAAATTATGATCTTTCTTTTTTTTCTGAGACAGAGTCTCACTCTGTCACCCAGGCTGGAGTGAGGTGGCACCATCTCAGCTCACTGCAACTTCTGCCTCCTGGGTTCAAGGGATTCTCTTGCCTCAGCCTCCTGAGTAGCTGGGACTAGAGGTGCCCGCCACCACGCCCAGTTGATTTTTTCTATTTCTAGTAGAGACAGGGTTTCACCGTGTTAGCCAGGTTGGTCTTGATCTCCTGACCTTGTGATCCGCCCGCCTCGGCCTCCCAAAGTGCTGGGATTACAGGCATGAGCCACCACACCCAGTCACATTATGATCTTTCAAAACTGCCTGTCTTCTTTCTAATGGGTGTACACACACAAATGCATACATGTAGAGACAAATAATACCTGGCATGTTTCAGAGAGCCCCTGGATACAACATCCTTTTGTTTAAAAATCTACTCTTTAAATATCCTTATCTCAAGTGAGGCAGAGCTGCCACTGACCACAAATGTGCTCCACGCAAGGCTTCTCTTAGTCCTTGCGTGATTGGAGATAAGTGGCTAAACCTCAGGAAACCATGCCCTTGGGAAACCTGTCTTGGCATCACAGTTCTCAGCATGCGGGGTCCTACTTGGGTGTGCCCAAGCTCCTCTGTGCTTCTCTCCTTCAAGAGGAACCTGATGGCCAGGTGCGGTGGCTCACACCTGTAATCTCAGTACTTTGGGAGGCCTAGGCAGGTGGATCACCTGAGGTCAGGAGTTCGAGACCAGCCTGGCCAACATGGCAAAATCTCGTCTCTACCAAATATGCAAAAATTTGCCAGGTGTGGTGGCGAGCACCTGTAGTCCCAGCTGCTCAGGAGGCTGAGGCAGAAGAATCACTTGAACCTGGGAGGTGGAGGTTGCAGTGAGCTGAGATCACGTCACTGCACTCCAGCCTGGGAAATAGAGCAAGATTTCATCTCAAAAAGAACCTGATGCCTGGTGGCTGGCCAGTGGGCACGCGTGTGTGAACAAGGTCCAGTCACAATGGTGTTCAGCTCACCCTGGTAGTTTTCATCTTATTCCCTATTCTGGATCCTATGGCTTGGCCTCAAATCACAGGAA